GAAGAAGATGCTGATGTTCCGAATAAAGACTTTGACGATGATGGAACATCAGCCGACGTGTTCTGAAGACAACGATGAAATGAGTAACCTGATAAGAGATCAAGATTAAAGGTGGTGAAAGTTTGCGAAGAAGTTAGCTAACAGAGGTTCGTGAGATCCTACTTCCTACATGAGCCCTATAAATAGAATTGATTGCCAGACCAGTCATACTCCAAATAATACAGCAACAGGTTATACATATAGGGTAAAACGGGGGGAATCGGTACAGTGGCAAGTACCACTGCTTATCACGCGCACGGTTAGGGAAGAAATCCGTCCAGGCGGGACAGACCATCCATCCCTTTTGTGTCGGGTAATTGGTACTAAGTTAGTCTAGGAGCATTGAAGAAACACTTGCATCAGCTGTCCCCACAAGTCATTGCATAATACAGAACTTATTCAAATGCCACTACGATCGTGAGCGGAAATAAATCCGAAACCCTCAGGTTAAATACGACTTGATTGAAAATGGTGATGTGATCGGGATCAAATAGTTCGGTGATAGTCTCTCGCGGTCCGTCCCACATTTCCAAGCAAAGGTTAGAATTTCGATTCACCAAGAAAATGGTCCCATAAGGTAATTTGACCTCCTAAGTACAAATATCAAACCCGTCCAGAGTGGAAATAACTTTGGACACCAAAATTATCGAGACTGTAGCACGAGGGAGTTTGGTGAGCTGGAAATCGCTCGTCAAACTTCCCAAGGGGACCAAATCCCGACAGGAAGACTCTGACGAGTTGTAATAACGTTAACCGTCTCATGGTTCTCCATGAACTATTACGCATCCGATATTTGCTTCAGAATGTAAGAACAGCATCGAGCGTTAAGCCCAGTTTTCAGTAAAATTTAGCCCAGACGACCCAACAAGTTCATTCGACAGATCATGTCGTCCCGAATGAATAGTCTACTTCAGGAAGGTGCATTTCGGAGCAATAGTTCCGCGCGCGTTATGCTAATATCAATTTTAGGGGGAGGAAGCTTCGGGGTGAGGGAACCAACGCGCTTCTGTGAAAAGAGAACTGGGTGAATATGATTTCTTCTAACAGTGAAAGAAAATGTCTATCACAGTTTTGAATGTATTGAATGCTCTGCACCAAAATGTCCCACCTTAATGACATAGACCCAACAGATCTGATAGCAGTCGGGTGCACCACTTCTACCGACGTCTCCGATCAAGTGACAACAACGAACGATTATCTCAACTAGACCTCGCAAGGAGACGCTAGAGAAGAGCAGCCACTTGTTGGGTTCGAGTCTCTGCAACTGATGGGTTCGCTAGCCTAGAGGTTTGCTCACATGCAAAGCAACTAGGAGCGGATGAAAAACAGCCTCATCCTGGCCTCAGTCCACTTTCGAGGATGACTCCCTTGCGCCACGGCTTAGGTATCTGCGTAAGCAGACAACCCAGCGTGTAGTCGATGCACCAGCAACGCATCAGCGATAAGCTGTGGCGTGCAGCAGTAATGGAAGGACTGATGGAACCATACTGCATCTCTATCTATATCCTTTATATCTATATAATTCTCTCTACTATATATCTATATCTCTTATAACTTGTTCCACTATTGATCACTAGTGGGGATATCTATCTCTATCTAAATATCTATATTATATCTTTTTAGAACTCTAATCTATTTCTCGTATTCAGAACTCGATGAAAGAAAGTGCTCAAAATCGTATCTATAATATATATTATCCTTCGTAATATATATCTAAATTGCTCTCCTTTTTATCCCATTCCGCTGCGCTGTCACATCCTTTTCTGCACCACTCTCTTGTGCGCTTTTGATATCCTGGGCGGAATCACTTTGAGTCACATCCAAATTACTGGATCCACCAAAGCTGGTTCCGACATTGCCTTGCCAAGCATCAGAAGCACTTGCAGTGTAACGCACTGTAAGGGTCGCACTGAATGCAGTATGTATATATATGCATCATATTAATATCTCGAATAGTCATATTACGGTCTCAGGAATGAGAATTAAGATGGAAAATCTTCTCTCTCGACGGAAACATGCTCTCAAAGTATCTATATTATCTATACTATTTTCTATTTGCGCGACGAGCCGAATCCAACAGCGTATTTTTTTTTGGTGTGTGTGGTGTCTTTTTGATATATCTTGTAGCATCTTTATGCGACGCTCCAAGCAGCACGACTTTGGCCTTAAATGAGGAATAAGTTAATAATTCAAAACATGACGGATTTTACAATGAAACGTCCAACAAACTCACCTTCCATAGCGCGTAGATCCTCTTCGGTCAGCTGATCGAGTTGCGGCGGAGGACGAGGCATTTCCATAGGAAATGGAGGTAGTGGAGCCATGAATGGGAATGGAGGAAATTGTGGCTAAAGTGATATTAATTATCATCTACATCTAGTAAAATTATCCAGGTTCAATACCATGTCTTGGGGAAATGGTGGTGGAAAAGCGGGAAAGGGTCCTGAAGGAAAACCAGCAGGCACTCCACCCACCGGATTTGGGAACGCTCTCGGATCATTGGTTCGTCCTTCTCCTTCTCCACCACCAGCAGCAGCAGGAGCTGTCTGCAATATGCCAAATCAACAACAAAACGCAAGATATCTATATGTTGCTTCTCACATTGTCCTGAGTCGGTGGTCGAGGTTGAGGAACAGCAAACTGATGCGCCATAAATGGAAAAAGATTCGGAGGTAGACGAGCATTGACAGCCCTCTGTTCCTGAGCAGGAACGTGTTAGGCTGGCGGCTGGCACAGCGCCGTTTGCTGCTGCACGTTGACCGGCTGCCGCTTAAAAGATCTGATGTGTTATGTGCAATCATTCTTTTACACGTTCGCTGAACCGTAATGTTGATCTGGTGAATAATGCCACTATTCGCATTTACGGTTGCGCATAAATGCCGATATTACAGCATAAAGGCATCCTACAATAGAACACAATTTTGGATTGGGTTGCGAACTGTCACTCAAGACAAATAAATACTTGCGTCCATGTTTTCCTATGGGTTTTATTATAGGTACACTCCGTTTCATGCAGCCAGAAATCCACGTGGCACACGTGGCTAAATTCTCGATGAAAAGGTGACGTCACGTGTGCTCAAAGATGTTCTTGATTCGATGCCACGTCAATTTCTCGTCAATTTTCTTGCACATTTTCTGGTTATTTGAAGGCGAGGGTAATGTGATTGCGAAAATGAGACACGAATCCATTCTGAAAATGTCGGGGCTGCCATGAGAGAGAGACAATGAGCATTACACCGTATCTCACGATAGTCGCTATTTGGGGATTTCGTCTGAATCCTTGAAAAAATGCCCATCGCGTGCAGCTTTACAATCATCTAGCGGCTTTAATTACTATCTAGTTGCTCCTCCCAATTCGGTTACTATGACTAATAGATTTCTTCGACGATGATTCCTATATTCCTTTTCTCTAGGTACACTTCCGCTGACAATGAGTCCGACTTCTACAAATTCAAGTTCTTATTCGAATTTGTATTCCCTGTCCCATTTGAAGCTAACGGACAGCTTAGCCGAGCGGTGCGTCATGCTTTTATCAACTCTAGCATTAAGAAACCTCGGAAACACCGTGCTTCTCCATCTGATCTGCAAGATTAGAGCACGATTTCGCCTCTGTAGGCTGAGAAAACCCTCACCTAAAATGTCCGTCCTACAGTGGGGCATGTTTGCTGTCGTTGGAACCAACTTCGCAGACAGTGCGTATGGAAGACATGCCACAGGGAAGTCGTTTCGGTGTTGATTCTGGTGTCATTTCATCTCGACAAATGATGCATGTGGCATCCATTGTAGCCAGATCTTCAGCTGACACAATTGGAAATAAGCTGAAAAGAACAAGTATAAGGAAGTGAAAGTATACACAAAACAAATAGAGTCCATTAAGGAGGAGTTAAGGAAGGCGATGTGAACAGACTCCATAGCCTTTCACTTCATTTGATATTCTATGTAGAGTACAGAACTCAGACTGTGCAAAGAACTGAGCAACTACAGACGGTTCTTGCCCCAAAGACTGCTGTAACCATCTCCAATAAAGAAACCCAAAAGTGTGTGGCCATCGTTCTAGGACCACTTACTGGGTCTGTCGCGAAGAGTATTATTTTGCTGATATCTCCAAAACAAAAACGAAAACGTTGCCTGGATGTATACGCAACGGTGTGTTTCCCAGATACTTCTCCTCGAACAGATGGGATAATACCCCTAGACGTGCTAGATCCCTTAACGCCTACTCAGTCACTGCTTCCTTTTGAATCCATCCTCCCTCTATGACAATAATGAACCGAAACACAGTTTAACAATGAAAATGGCTAAACACACTTTCATGGCGTTTATGGCTCTTCGACTCAAAATGACATCATTGACCGCTTTATGCAAAGCTCGCAGAGATAGATAGAATGGTCGCACTGAGAATAACGGGAACGAGTGGACGCGGAGCATAACAGCGGCGAACAATCCATACAAAACGCATCGTATAAGATCTATAATTATGTTGACAAATTCAACGCTGAAATAACGCTGAACACAGCAAGCTAAGAGCTGAAAAACCACTAATGAAGAGTTCGCATAGAAGCATAATAAACAGCCTTTGTTCTCCCACGCTTTAGCGCGTTCGCAATCGTCGGCATCGTGAAGGAACTATACTTTATCTTACATGGATCACTAAAAGCCATCAGATTGGCAATATCTAAAATTGCGATCCAATGAGGCTACATGACTAAGTTATTAAACAAACACATGAAACTAACTTACTCAAATCCGAAAACGATTTGGGCGCTAGCGCCTTTGAGTAACGTAGTAAAATAGGCATGAGAAAGTAGGTAAGAGTCTGTGGCACCAAGGAAGGCAACAATACCTGTGAATAAATCGTATAACACTATCTTCCTGATAATTATGAACGCATAAACTGCACGCAATATATTACTTACGAGGAATGCTCAATTGGTCAGTCCGGCCATTTGTAATGAGGTGTAGTCCGCTGTACTCGTCTTGCGACGCTGAGCTCAAATCCGTTTTCGTTATCTGCGGAACGATTCTCTGAAAGAAGTTACGAGGGAATCTTCTCACTATGGCTTTTTTCACTGTGGCACCCTCTACATTCCCCTATCCTCCATGGTTCGCATAGAGAAGAGCCAAGAGCATCCCACATAGTTGCATTATGGCTAAGCCAGACTCTGGGAATTTCCTCCTCGTCCTATCTTCCAGTTTCGCATTATGGACGAACTTGACACACGGAACAACACAAGCACAAGCTGTAACTTAAAGCAACAGTTCAGGAACGGTTTCGCGGGAAAAAACCACCAATAATGAAGTTGTAGATGAAAACCAGACGATTAATGTATGAAAAACTGGAAAAAAACGTCGGGGAGGGTCTTAGACAGGTACTCTCCCTCTGCCGCTCAGCAATGGATAAAGACGCACGTTGGACGAGTTGTCTGAACGTGCCCGCTGTAAACGCGCTCCATTTTTCAATCAATTTTCCCTGTGGTCCCAAAACGAGCACGATTGCCGACGCGTCCAATGACGGCCGGCAAGGGGGCGGGATTGGGGAAATCCCCAAGAACACCCATGTTTGAGGGACTTTCCACCCTGTTTTTGAGTTTCTGAGGTAAGTTCGTTTATTATTTCCACTGCATATGTTCTTCACTAGGGCTCGTGTATCCCTCAGTAGTAGTGGCATTGAAATTTTCGGACCCTCCCTGAACTGTTGCTTTAATTTCAATAATTGCGAGCATATGTGATAGTTCTTCACATGGTGATGATCAAAACAGCTTTTCGCAGTGTGCACAGGGAATAAAGAAAGATTAGGGGATGTAGAGGGTGCCACAGTGAGAAAGCCACAAAGAGAAGAATCCCTCGTAACTTCTTTCAGAGAATCGTTCCGCAGATAACCGAAAACGGATTTGAGCTCAGCGTCGCAAGACGCGTCCATTGGACTACATCTCATTTAAATGGCCGGACTGACCAATTGACCATTCCTCGTTAGTGTTTCGTTAAAATTTACATATGCATGTTCACGATCATGCTTTCAACAGTAATAAAGTCAACGCAACATTTCAATGCATAGAAATGAGAATGAAAACTAACACATCATCCGGATATGAAATTTTAGCGTTATGACAGGACTGCGTTCCATCATATCCACACGGTCGTCAGCCAACCAATGAAAACTTTTTACAAACAGCAAGCCAACAAACTGCATTACAAACAGTGGCGAAAAGTCGTCTCGAAATACCGTAAATGCCAAGCATGTTTCTAATACTGCATGCCAGGCACGTTCTGATAAATGCTGAAATGAAAGTAATGTGATCGCAGTTAGTTCAACACTCATTCATCAAAGAGAACTATTATATAATTGCAGAGGACTTTCAAGCAGAAATTGCTCGAAGTAGCCCAGAAGGTGTAACAGTTCGGTTGTTAAAGCACCAGAGAAATAATGATCGAGTAAAAGAAACAGATACACACCTCAGCCTCCGAAGCTCGTAGTTCACCGAAGAATATTTTTCTGACCATTTGAAATAGTATATACACTAGAATAAGTGCCTGCACATAAATGACCTAAAACAATAAGTTAAATCCTTCAATATTGCAGAACAACAAGAACAATGACTCTCAGGGAAAAAGAATCGAGAGGATTGTCGACAACAAAGATTTGACGCTTTGGAGCACACGTATAGTTCACGGTATGCGGTAGCGTGGGACTCGGATGAACTTATTTCTAACTTAATAGATAAGTCGGGAAGGAAAATGTTAAAATCCCCACGACCAAACCATTATGTCTCAACGTTAGAGTGACAACACCTTCGACTGACTAAGGCGGAGGATACTCTCAAGGATTGAAAAGACAAAACTTCACCTAAGGTCGATCCATGCTCTGCACAAGTATGGTCAGCAAAACCAATCACTGCATGCGTAGTGTGGCGCTTAATACTATCACAGGAGGCCAGAGGGATGTATGTAGAAGACAAGAGAGTATGCCAAGAAGATATTATTGCTGAAGTCATCAAAGGACTAGACTAGAGCATTACATTAACTAGATCATAGCTATTAAGGAGATGAGAAGCAAATGGTACGAGCATTTCACCGAAATAAGTATGGTGTAGAGCAACCGAGAACTTAAAACAGGATGTCAAAGCGTTTTACTCCAGGATAGCGATGTGCTATTGCACGACTTCAGAAATTACAAAGCGCGCTGACATACAAACTTCCCTTGGTGATTTTTAGCGCCGAGATTCCTACCAGAGCATAGAGGAGAAATGAACGCGCTAGATCGCTAAAAAGTGCCATCGTGATTATTGTTTCAAATGTTCTGAAGAAAACGGGAATAGCCTACTACTTCAACTATCAATCACTTCCCCTGATGTTTCACACTCCGAACATCTTTCAATAGCTCTGGACACCACACTCAGGGAGGCATTTGCGTAATCGCAGACCCAGCGGCTCGGAGGTCACTTTCAATTCTCTCAGCAGATGCTCACGAGAAGGATGGATCACGTTCTAGACGCCGAATGTGTATTATCAACAAGGCACACTAGAGAACTTAAATCCGTTTGTAATTTTGTTTCCACTTCATTTAGTCGATTGCGATTTCTCAAGAATACTGTGTCACTTCACTTGCTTCAAATTTTCGGAACAGGCTGAAAAGGGCGTGAAAAAGAAACACAATGCCATAACAACTTGGGAGCAAACTTAAGAGGAGTCTATCTGGCAAAAAGATAGGCACAGCACCTTAAATAATCAGGTAATTTCGGAAATCGTGTGTCCTCGAAAAAACTAGATTTAGTATCAAGGGGAGGTAAATTTCGAAAATCGTCTCGAAAAAACTGTATTAAGTATCAAACGTCTCACCATCATGCTGGCATTGCTTTTTGTTATGTAGACAATCGATGGATAAAACTGCTTGTTCACGACGAAGGCATTCGTGACTGTTGCCGCCGTTGCCACAAATGAGCCGAAGGCAGAGAGACACCCGGAGAGATGATATCGCATGACGAAGTTCACTTGCGCCAATGTTGGTCGAGGATAAATCGCTTAATCCTGCAAAAGAAGACACGATTACGCTTGAAAAGCAAGCGCGAGTGCACGACAATGAACTAGACTGCTTGAGTACAACGACAACAGCGTGTTCTTGAGTCATTAATTCCTTGCATCAACGCAACACAGGCTTACTTAAGATCTGTTAAGAAAGGGTGTTACAAAGACTACAACAAAGATGTTGAGTTATGGTTCGACCAACAGGGCTTGAATACGCACTTACACTTCACGGGCAGCGCACTTATCCATTACAACACCAAGACCCCATGAAGCCTTACAAATTCTGAAAATAGCCCCAGCAACCGGGTAGAGGTGACAAGCACTTCAGCAGATATGAGTACTATGTGAGCACACTACGAGAAATAGTTTGGTGGCAAAAACACCGCTCATTCAGAAAGAGGCAAGAATAAATTATGTTTATATCAATTCGAAGCATCACAGATATGATAGACATCTAATCCTTGGTAAAAAATCATAGCGATAAAGTCGAAAACGTAATTCCATAAGAACGAAAACCTTGCGTGAATAGTATTTGAATATACAGGAAAGAAATGTAACCGGATATGGAAAATGTAATCCTATCACGTGAACCAATCGAGCTGTATTCATGCTACGTAGAAGAATGTTTATAAGACACGCAGGAAACCAGTGAAATTACCATACATAGCATACATCTTTCCTCATTACATGAGCAAACAAACTCCGCACATGATGTCATTGCTCTTCCCAGCGACTATAAAATTCTACACGAAATTAAGTTATTGAGAAAGTCCTGTTTCAGAAGAACGGAAAACGTGAACAGAGAATGGTCTGCTATTTACGTGAGGAATAAAACGAATATTATAAAGAAGACCATGAGCACACCAAAAACTTTGATCATCAACCACCGATTTTTGCTTATATTATGGAAGTACTTCACCAGTTCAGTATGTGCCGCATCGATGTTTATAGCTGTATCTTCGACATTCGAATCAATACTGAAAACGAGAATACGGAAAAGTAAATGATTTAAGCGTCAAAGTTTGAGGAACAGGCTATGCTTCTGCACTCATGCAAACGCAACACTTCCCACGCACCGCTCAGCCGGAACACTATGATGACGTTGCATACGGATGTAACACCAATTGCGAAATGGAAAACAGCACAAATAATAAAGGGGCGTGCAAGTGGCGTTTCCATGGGACCAAGAACTACTGCTCTGTGAGACTCACCGTGTAATCATTTCGCCTTGTTCACTAACTAAACTCGCCAATTGAGCAAAAATTTGTCCCAATTCCGATATAGAACCTTCTATCGTTTCCATGGCGGTGGAACGCGCCTGAGCATACGCGTCCGACTGGTCGTGAAGAGTTACCTGAAAGAGCAAATCAAGAAGATGAACTAAAATTTAAAAGAGGTAGTAACTGCAATAAGCCACCCTTCAAAGGTTACACAAAAGGCTTACCTGTTGCTGTACACGCATTTGCTCCATCGCACCCATATCCAACGTTACACTGTTGACACGAGGAACACCGTGCTGGTTATCATCATCAAGCAGTCGCGAACGTACTAAAAATAAGAGTTCCTCCAAACATATCTCAGCAGTCCTACTTAGAATTTCACAGATATAATTGCAATTGCATAGATTCATTTTAATTCTCCCTTTGAAAACGAAAAAGTGTATTACTTTATAATGGACTTTCGAAGAATAGAAAGAAGAACCATCAACGAATGTTTCAAAAACAAAGAGCTTACCATTTGAACCTGAAGATGAGGAGGGGAAGGAGGTAGGCAACGGATCTGCATTAGAGAACTTCTCCCGCCTATTCTTTTGGTGTTTCAAGTTCTTAACGAAATTATCACTAAATTAATACGTGCAAGATTCACGAACACTGACACATAATAACGTACTTCCGTGCTAATTTCCAGTACGCTCTGGAAATCCTTACTGACACTGGCCAATTTAGATTGCAGACCAAAACGACCAGCTGGCTAAATGTCAGGAAGTCGATCACCTTGGCTCAAAGTGAAACAATCCAATCCAAACTGATGGACGTTCCTTGATTTTTTGTTCCAGAATTACGTTCTCTGGAGAACTCTTGCAATGCGGCTATTTGCTTATTCAAGCTAGTGATATCCTAAACGTTGGATGTTAGAATAAGCTGCTATATTAGTTAGTAAACAAGTCCAAAAAATGAACGGGTAAAAATCACCTCTTTTACAATCTAGGCGGATGATCAGTGTGTGGGTGTGTGTGAAGAGGCTTTTTCTTTTAGCATCTCGGCAGCCTTTCTCTTGGCGCAAGTTGGCAAATTCGCGCATTCTCTGCGGTCAGAGACAGATCAAAACTGGCAAATCTCGCTTGACATTTGAGAAGGGGCAGAGGAAATGATCTGTTCACAAAAGACTGTAGAAGTGTCACTTTGCACTGTTGAAGTGCACTGAATTTAGGATCTCTTTTTCGAGTGTTGTGGAAAATATCGTTAGAATGATTTTCAGGTGAAACATTGATTGATTAACGTACTTTGGCAACAATGCATCCAGTCTTCAGGCTTCTTCGTGCTTGCAAAGACTTGCGGATTTGTTTACACATCTGTGTCTGAGCGACGGAGCTCTACTAATCGATGTTTATGGCGAAAACACTAGTATATTTTACACAAGCTGAACTTTGAAATGTAACCGAGCATTAACTAAGGATGTGGTGAGCATAATAAAAAGGTTCACTAAATTTCGACAGCCAATTTTTCATTGACTCGATAAAAAAATTCGCAGAACAATAGATTTTTATCATCAAAAAGCCATGCAGAACAACATTAGGAAAAGTCAAGTAAAGTGATCCACCTGGAGAGATTTGCATGTTGTCCTGAACTCGGCAGTTCTGTCCCTTGACGGCATCGTGAAACTTAATGAATCCAGTGGATCTCCAAATACGCTTAGTGTGGGGAAACTTTTTTCGATCGATCCTCTGGCAATAACGGCTCAGAAGGATAATGCAAGGAAGATGGAATGGAGGAGAACGCTTCCTAAATAGCGTAGAATCAATATGGTGTGTACATTTATCGATGTGTAGAATCCAACGATCTCTAGCGGAGATAAAATCCAAAGGAATGCAACAAGATTGATCAAACCAATAAACAATGGAACTGAATCTCAAAGGATCACTTTATAACAAACAAATTATCAAGTTTTAGAAGAACAAAAACAAACAAACCTGCGCCGAATTCCAAAGCTGAGTAGGAGAAGCTCCAAAAACTGTGCTACTTAGCGAAGTATAATTTCCAAATAGTGACGAAGAAACACTAGCTGACTCCTTTTTGGTGTCGTGATCAAAAACGGCAGGTACGTGGAATGTGGAATTGGAGTCAACACGTCGCCGTGATCTAATAGAGGAATCCGACATTCGACATCAACCTCCCCGACTGAAAGGAAATGACGTTATTTGAAGACTATCTGGAAGAGATCAGAGAGACGCAACCACTTCAAGTATAGTTAGAGAAAATTTCTGACACTTGGAACTTGAAAAGGCAAGGTATCGATCGAAACATATGTTTTATGCGCGTGGCGTGTTGTGCACAACACGCCACAGCCAATTTTTCCTTTGATATTCACTCTGTTTTGCCTGGAAACTCAAATTTTGATCCAAGATTGAGGACGAAATGTCACATAGTTTGAAATAAAGACGTCATTCGGAGTAAAGAAGTGCAGAATTCAAGAAAGAAGCGAGACGAATTGGAGATACCGTAGTAGCGAGGAACACGTCTGCTACCGTTACCGTATTCCACGAGCTTCACGGGTGGTCACTCGTTTTGTTTATTCACACCTTGACCAGCCAGGGGCTTACTTGAAAGTTTTCCCCATACCTTTGGAAATGCTTTTCGTTCATTCACAACAATTGTACGCAACATTCTACCGCAGCCTTTACAAAATTTGGCCAGTTTCGTTAAATTGCGCGCTGCTATTTCGCAGTAGCCTTTCAGTGTTTTTTTCTTAGTGGGAGTTTCAATCGTGTAATGAGCTTGACTATGGGTTTCATCGGGTGCTGGTATGGCGGCAAGTTTGCTATCCTGACGACTATGTGTTTGCTCAGCTGTTAGATTCGTATACGGACTGAACCGATTACAAAAAATGAAAATAGCAGCTCTCTTTGGCGGTTTGCGGAGGGAATGGACGGATAAAAAACTATCCAGGAAATTGAGAAATATGCTTAGCGCTCTTAAACTCCTTACTGCCGCCATCTCAGTGAGATGAATAGAGGGCCAGGGCAAAAGATATATACACCAAACTTCATAGGTAATGTTGATTTACGTATTTCTTAAACGTAAAAAAAAAAAAAAAAAAAAAAAAAAAAAAAAAAAAAAAAAAAAAAAAAAAAAAAAAAAAAAAAAAAAAAAAAAAAAAAAAAAAAAAAAAAAAAAAAAAAAAAAAAAAAAAAAAAAAAAAAAAAAAAAAAAAAATAAAATAAAAAATTATTCTAAAATATTTGGGCAAAAATAATAATAACCTGCGATGTATCATTTTCTACATTGTTTTTTTTTAACTAGAATCTATTCAGGAGGCATTACTTGGTTAACTGTATGATCGCTTACTTCTGTTAGTAAAGCGCATCAGAGTAGGCACTTCCACTGGACTAGGATGGGAATAAGCCTCCTGAGGTACTTCCTCTTTTTTCTTCTTACTTAGAATTCCTTGATATCAACCTTACTGTCGGAAATAAACTTTGCTGGCATTTATGGCAGTTTTCTTTCAGGTACAATCCATCAACAACCACCACCACAACAACAGGTACGTGTAAATATTTAGCAGTCATTTTATTTACTGTTAACTTTACTCGTTATTCAGTAGTATGAAAGGGTTCAGTGCAGACTATGTTGCTGAACTCTGTCCTATCGTCTCTTGTTCATTGTATTTCGTAGAGTTTTTCATTTACTGCCAGTTTATACCATTTGACATTCTGGTCCTCTTTCAGGGTCTCTTGCATAGGGCGCACGCATAGTCGGTCGTCCGACAGCAACGATCGCAACTGTCTGACTGTCTAACTGCATCTAATCGTCGAATACTCAGGCAAGTCCGACGATCGATACGCATCCAATGCTGTGCGACAGTTACGATCGTTGCTGTCGTCCGACCGACTATGCGTGCGCCTGTAGACGCGGGTTCAAACAGCTTCACAGATTATGCGGGGCGGTGCTAACTTAGTTGGGGGGGGGGCACGCGGCGGCGCGGCAGTCTGCTCGCCTGGCATGTTCGGAAATCCGTGGGCCAGGGGGAGTGTAGGCCAGCCTAGGGGGTGGGGGTGGGGGCAGTCACTTGACATGCGTGAAAAGCTGGAATGTTCGAGTTTACACTGTCTCGCTCGAGAGAGCCCAGGTGAGCAGACTGCCGCGCGCCGCGTGCGTGCCCCCCCCCCCAACTAAGTTAGCACCGAAAACTGCCTACCTAGATCCCAGCTGATTCACATACCAGTGAGAAAACCAAAGCCATAAACATCATTCCTGAAATTATTCTCGTCAGCCTGCAGGCTTAATTAGTTCAATAGTATGACATGAGGCGTAAAATTTATGACTCCTCCGATGCCACCGTCAGTGTCGAGGCTTGAGACCGAGCACGAGCATTTTAATATGGCAGCAGTCTGGGTGAATGCGCCGCGACCAAAACCTGTTCAGCAAGTCTCTCTAGATTGAATGGCACTGTCGAATAGTAAGTTTATGCCTGTCTGAGATATCTCTGGTAAGGGATGCTCGAAGTCTGTTCAGAACGTTTACCAATTTTCGTGCAGCTTAGATCTATACTCCCACTAGCAACATCTGCAATCCGATTGTGAACGAGTTCTGAATTCACAGTGAATTCTGATTTAGCAATTGCGCATTTGATCCAACCGATTCGCTAACCACTACACTGGTAGAGCATGTTTCTTGTAGTGAAATTTGGAAGTAATTATTTAAACTGTTCCCTAACTTTCTATAAATGCCAGCAGTAGTAGCTATGTTTCGTGTTTCCCGACACTAATAGCCTCTTGAGCGCAAAATTTTTGGATCCTAGTGAGAAGATATTTTCAATAATGAACTTTAGGTTCATCAGCAGCAACCGCCACAACAGGTTTACATTGTTACTTATGGTGTTGTTGGCCTAACAGATGCTTGTTTTTTATATGTCTAAGTATTGAAGGGTTGTGGGACTGTTTTAAGGAGTTTTGAAGATGGTGTCAAATTTAGGTAAATCAGCAGCAACCACCGCCTACCCCTCAACAGGTTGTTATATTTTTGATGGAATTAGTAATCACTAACAAAGGTTCTTTTGAAACCGTAGTTGGATAAAATGCAATGTAGAAACCCATTCATCTTAGCGATTTTCTACTTAATAGCTTTTCTATATGTAAAGCCAGATTATTATAATAAAAGTGTGGGGATTTTGCAAATCAGAACTGCTTGTATTGCTCTAAATTGATTGCAGTCCGTTTTGGTGGGAGCGCTTCTGGTGGCAATAGTAGAACAGATGAACATAGAATAAAGAGTCGGATTGAATGCGCTCCATGCCAGTAACTGGAGACGTATACGTAGTATATTGACTTTTTCAGAATTTTCTTTCGATTTCCAATAGGGGATTATTTGGTCTTCTTCATGAAGCAAGAAGCAGACCTTACTTTGGTCCCCGTAGAAGTGCTACTAAAATTTCACGACTTGTATAACTTAATCAGCCGGTATAATGGCTTGCACACCAAAGGCTTAAAGCAGTAGTCTTGGAACTGTGCGGAATTGAACTGTTTTTTGCATTTCAACCTTTCGCTTTGAAGTAAGGGGAAATTGGAGAAGTAGAACGATTGTTAAGGTTCAACAGCAGCAGCCTCCTCCCGTTCAACAGGTATCTGTAATTTATCGCGAAATATTCACCTAACAGATACTTCTTTTCGTGTCAAGTGTTTCCTTAACTGGCGGATCGTGGGCATAGGTGATGAGAAGTATGAGTGATCCTCGCATTACAGGTCCAGCAGCAGCAACCGCCACTTGCTCAACAGGTTTCTAAATTTTCCGTGTCAAGTATATCTAACAGCTGCTTGTTTGAATTGATGTCCGATTGAATTGGTGGCTTTGTACCGTGATAACCGTGCCAGAATTTTATATAACTCTAAGAGCGGTTCATCATAGTACTGCATCTAAATAGTACGTAGTTTCCTCTGTTTTAGGTCAATCAACAACAGCAGCCACCCCCTCAACAGGTCAATATAGTTATACGCTTTAAGCTTACCTAACAGCTATTTGTGCCGGTTTTTTCTTATTGGGTTGAATGGTTCATGGTTGGTGTTCCACGGTGGCTGTATTCGAAAATGATTAACATTCATGTTTTTCATCATTTAAAGGCATATATCACGATTGCCGAGGTAAAGATGTAGTCGCGCCCAGTGGTGAAAATAGATCAACCAGTTTGCTTACTGGTAGAGAAGATAGCCATACGAACCTAGAAAAAAGCTAATCATTTTTTTTTCGATTGTGACTTGTGAAAATAGCGCGAAGAGGCTAGGTGTTTACATGCGTTCTCACTTATGTTGATGTTCTCCAAATTCGGCGATATCCTATGAGGTTCCATAACAGGTTACGGGTTGTGTTATAGATCTGTTGCTTCTTTTGAGGTAATGGGTCGCAATTTTCCTTGGCTACGTGGATATCATCAGTTGGAAGGCGTGGCCACAAGTAGTGATTGAATTCATTTAGACCAAACTGTTTCTAAATTCTCTTATTCTATTTTGTGCTGAAACCTAAGGCAACTCAACAGCTGCGATGAATTGAATTGTAATGCAATAAATCATATTATTCTCGCGCAACCTACATCTTACTCATTCTCTCTATCTACGACCACACAGACTGCCCCCGCGGCAATAGTTTATCTTACAGAATGCCCTAGTTTAGCTTAATCCAACAAAAAAGCAGCACAACAACCTCACAGCATAATTCTACAATTTTTTCATGTTAAAATCCTAACACGGTTTTGTCGGTTAAGTGGCTGCCCTAATTGGGCATGGGTAAGCTGCTTAACTATTGAGAAATGATTAACCTGAAAGCATCATTCCTCATTTGGGACTCAATAGCAATTCTAAAGTTGAATTTTAGGTCCATCAACAGCAGCCTCCACCTCCCCAACAGGTTTCTATAGTATTATGCTATTCGCTTACCTCACAGTTGCTTGTGTCCGTTAAATTCCTATCTATCCTGGGTTGATGGTTTTTTGGTGTGGTAACTGTGTTCGAAATGAGTGACTGAAAATTTAATTATCATAGGCCCATCTGCAATTTTATAACAGTCGCCTTATTTTAGGTCGCAGCAGCAAAGCAGCCACCCCCCTCAACAGGTTTCATACAATTACATTCGTAAACCTAACAACCAGTTTGTCGTTTAAAGTTCCTGCCTAATTGTTATATATGCGTCACTAAGCTGCTTAAGTATTGAGAAATGATTAACCTGAAAGCATCATTCCTCATTTGGACTCAATAGCAATTCTAAAGTTGAATTTTAGGTCCATCAACAGCAGCCTCCACCTCCCCAACAGGTTTCTATGGTATTATGCTATTCGCTTACCTCACAGTTGCTTGTGTCGTTAAAATTCTGTCTAACTGGGTTGATTGGTTTTTTTTTTGGTGTGGTAACTGTGTTCGAAATGAACCCAAAAAAAAGTGAAAATTCAATATCATAGGCCATCTGCAATTTTTACAGTCGCGTTCATTTTTAGATCCATCAGCAGCAGCAGCAGCCACCCCCTCAACAGGTTACTACAGTTTTCTGCGTAAAACTCACCTATTAACAGCTTCTGTCGGTCAAATGTCTAATTGGGGTCATGAGTTTGTGTTGTGGTAACTGTATTAAGGTCTAATTTGAGGGAAGGTGTTCTTACTTCAATGGACACAAACAATTCTTATGGTTGCCTGTATTTTAGGTCCATCAGCAGCAGCCACCCCCACAACAGGTTTCTATAGTACTATGCTAAATGTTCAGCTAACAGTTGCTTGTCTGGACTTGAAGTTATATTAACCTCCATGTTGTCCCATGTGGAAATCTTGGCACAGTGTGTCAGGTTACAATTTCTTTCACGGCAGTCTGAAGTTGTTAAATGAAACCTCCATTCAATGGCCTTACTTTTTGACCTCACAAACCAAAATGATACAAACAGAAGGCGATCCATTGAAGATTTCATTAACAAACTCACTTGCCACGAGAGAATACACAATTTACTAGTTCGTGATATCGATTGTCCGTATTTGTGGTGTGACTGCATTATCGGTAGCTTCCGAATGGGAATCACAGTGATCATTTTTGTAGGTCAACCAACAGCAACAACCTCCCCCTCAGCAGGTTGTTGAAATTTTTAAGTGTTTGCCTAACAGTGATTCGTTTGTGTGGGTGAATTTTGAATCAGGGTGTTGGGTTTGCGTCACAACAACCATGTCGGAAATTGGGTACAGGAATTTAAGCTATAAATTACTTCCAATTATAGGTGAACCAACAGCAGCAGCCATCCGCTCAACAGGTTTTTACATCTTTCTGAAATGCTTTTTTTAACATCTGCTATTTTAAATTGAATATCTAATTAATGGGATTGCTGTTCTGTGAAAGTCGCTTAACCAAACTGCCCAAAAGTTTCTTGGGCTCTTACAAGTTCATAGAGCCTAGGAAACTTAATTTGTGAGCTATCCGCGCGCCGTCCATTGTTGTACATATATTGTAGATCCACCAACAGCAGCCACCACCCGCTCAACAGGTTGTTGACTTATTTTCGACGTGTTTATCTAACAGCAGTTTTCCATTCAAACGTCTTTTAATCTATTTTATAATTGTTTGGTGGCCAAGTGAAGGCATATTAACCCTGCTAGTAACCGAATAGCCTCAAAGCGGTTCACTATTTCATTTTCACGAACAGTAACTGCTTCGTCACTCACTCAGAGGGATGCCTCAGTTTTCACGGTCATCCACACTCACTTGACAGTTTTT